GACTATAGACATTTGTTCTTTCAATGTCATAGAGTAATTAATGTAATCAATCAACTTGAAAATTATATACTTGATCATTTTAAGATTGAATTAAGCTTGAAAAAGTATAAGACTCTTATCTTTGGCTACAAGGTACAAGAAACTAGCTATACTTACTTTAATGAGTGGTTAAATAATTTATGGTATATTATATTTGTAAACTATTGTAATAATGTTCAAGAATTAAAATTGTATCACTTTTCGCAGATATTGTAATATTGTAAAATGATGTAAACAAAGTTATAAAACAGAAATATATACATGAAATAATAACAAAAAAAAAAAAAAAAAAAAAGAGATAAAAGCATGAAATTTGGCACAAAGTTAGTTTATACCATTGTGAACAAGCCATCATCATATAAAATTTGAACCAAATCTGTTCACTGGTATATGAGTTATCAAAGATTACGTTTTTTACGAATATGGGCAGCCATCTTGAAATTCAGCTGCCATCTTGAAAATTATTTCTTGAACAGAGCTACTGTGTCCCTAGGCATAATCATATAAAATTTCAATCAAATCTGTTCACTGGTATTTGAGTTATCAAAAATTATGTTTTTTACGAAAAATTGCCGCCATTTTGAAATTAAGCAGCCATCTTGAAAATGTTTTGTCAAACATAGCTACTGTGTCCCTAATAATCATCATATAAAATTTGAACCAAATCCGTTCACTGGTATTTGAGTTATCAAAGATTACATATTTTTACGAAAAATGGCCGCCACTTTGAAATTAAGCGGCCATCTTGAAAATCTCTTTTTGAGTGTAACTCCTTTGTCCCTAGGCATCAGCATATAAAATTTGAACCAAATCCGTTCACTGGTATATGAGTTATCAAAGATTACGTTTTTTAAGGAATTTGGGTCGCAATCTTAAAATTCAGCCGCCATCTTAAAAATTATTTCTTGAACAGAGCTACTGTGTCCCTAGGCATAATCATATAAAATTTCAACCAAATCTGTTCACTGGTATTTGAGTTGTCAAAGATTACGTTTTTTACCAAAAATTGCCGCCATTTTGAAATGAAGCGGCCATCTTGAAAATGTTTTGTCGAACATAGCTACTGTGCCCATAAGCATCATCATATAAAATTTGAACCAAATCCGTTCACTGGTATTTGAGTTATCAAAGATTACATATTTTTACGAAAAATGGCCGCTATTTTGAAATTAAGCGGCCATCTTGAAAATCTCTTTTTGTGCGAAACTCCTTTGTCCCTAGGCATCAGCATATAAAATTTGAACCAAATCCGCAAACTAGTATTTGAGTTATTAAAGATTACATTTTTTACGAAAAATGGCGGCCATTTTAAATTCAGTGGCCATATTGAAAATTCCTTCTCGAGCAGAGGTCCTACACCCATAAGGCATAAGCCTATAAAATTTGAATCAAATCCGTGAAACGGTATTTAAGTTATCGCCCGGACAAACAGACAGACGGACGGACGGACGGCTTTCCTATATCCCTCTCGAACTTCGTTCGGTGGGATAACAAGGTTAGTTTTGTTTTAATCAGACATTACCATTCAGTATGTGGAGACTAGCTTACTTTACAAGTATAGCACTCGATTTTTTTCCTAATAGTTCCTAAGGAGCTTTCATGTTCAAAATATACAGTGTTTGGTCATAAATTGTTTGTTTTGTCATAGTTTGAAATTTATTCAGCCCTTGTGTCTGCATATACTGAAAGATACAGGATGACAATTTTTTATTTATGCTTATATTTTAAAACCTACGTTTATCTAGACATAACTTTCGCTATCACATGGTAGAATCATATAATCGCCACTGAGTGGATGTTTGAAAACACTTGTATGCAATGTAGACATGCGCGCAGGGAATATATGTGAAATAGATAGATGTTGTGAATATTTTTGCAAAAAAATTCACGTACTTTTAAAAACAGTGGCCATCTTGAAAAAAAAATTTGTGTAAAAGTATTTACTATCTTTCCAAGAAATATGAAGAAAATCCATCCACTAGTATTCGAGTTATCTTCCAGACATCTTGTAAAATATAAATACACTGCCCATATGTTTTGTTAAAGAGCAACAGAAGCATACAATCTTTCCATAAAGATAAAGTCAGAAACATATTTGGATATCTACATCATGGAGGTAGATTATAATTGATTTTATTTATTTGTCATATTCAGTCATCTAGAAAATGGCAACTCCACGGAGTAGCAAATCCCAACGAACAATATATAAATCATGAATTTGTAGTCACAATGTAATATTTACCATCTCCTCCATCTTCCCCTTGAATAAATATTTGAGATCGTTGTAGTATCATGTATACTTTCAAGATAATGGCGAATTCCTGCTCTAGGCAGCCATTTTGAATTTTCTGAGGCACAAATCAGAAAAACAATACCATAATTGTGATCTTCTCTGAAATTCAATATTTGCAATCAACTCTAAATTGCCTCTCATTTGAGTATAATAAAGCTATACTGTACTTCAAAAAGATCTCAAAATTAACACAAATTCATGTTTTCCCAACCCCCCCCCCCCTATTCACAGCCCCTGGGGGTCTGGGTGAAAAACACAGGATATTTATGAAAAAGACTTTAAAATAATAATATTCATTATTTTGTTTAAAATGAAAAACATAAGCTTTTTGCGAAAAATTCCCGCCATTTTTAAATTGACGACCATCTTGTAAAACTACTCACCAATATACATCTTTCCACCAAATATGAACAAAATCTGACTGACTGACCTGACTGACCTGACTGACTGACCTGACTGACTGACCTGACTGACCTGACTGACCTGACTGACTGACCTGACTGACTGACCTGACCTGACCTGACCTGACCTGACCTGACTGACTGACCTGACTGACTGACCTGACTGACTGACCTGACTGACCTGACTGACCTGACTGACCTGACTGACCTGACTGACTGACCTGACTGACCTGACTGACTGACTGACTGACCTGACTGACTGACTGACTGACTGACTGACTGACTGACCTGACTGACCTGACTGACCTGACTGACTGACCTGACTGACCGACCGACTGACTGACTGACTGACGGATTATTTGAGTTATTGCCCGGACAAACAAACAGATGGACAAATAGACGGCTTTTCTATATCCCCTTCAATTTCTTTCAGTGAAATAATTAAAATTGTATACAAATTAAATGGATAATATATAAATAGCAGGGGCTACACCAAAGTATTTTTGTCACAACAATAAGTTGCCAAACATAGATAAGCATAATCAAAGAGAATGTGAAGACAGATTTACAATATTATAATGATTTGTCAGTATTACAACTAACCATGCATATTGTCAAAAATCTATCACAGTAAGTACAGCCACCAGTATTAAAATTTTCATTTACCCCAAATCTTATGATATATCAGTAGAATGAAAATGTAATGGAGGCTGAGATGCCCCAATTCTATAATCAACAAGGCACATAATGTGAACGAGATCACACCATCGAAAAACCTTCAAAATGGCCACCAGAAAACAAGATAGATGCCCAAAAGTTAATCAGCTTTAGAACTTGATATCCTCTATCATGTATGTGAAAATCTGATGAGCGGTTTTCCTAAAATGAGGATGACAAGATTTGTTGAAAAATCTTCAAAGTGGCCACCCAATTGAAAAAAGCCTATGGAAAATCATCTCCAATTATCACCAAACTTACAATTGATAATTAGTTGAAAGTTAGGTGTACAAATTCACATGCAAATGAGCTAACTATCAAATAAGTTAACGCTTAATTTGCAACTTAATTAACGGTTAGCTACCATCAATATGCAAATGAGCTATATAGTGGTCGATTGTCACTGATTTACGTAAATTGGTTGAAAGTTAGTCGTAAGTTTGATGTAAGTTAATCTCTAATTATCACCTAACTTACTATTGATAATTAGTTGAAAGTTATGTTTAAGTCAGATTTGTTACTACTCAAAAATGACTCGCTTCTTTTTTGCTTCCTTTCACCCGGATATTTTTGCCTCATCTTGAACTATTTTGTGACGGAATATTCATCTTAATTAGGATCTTTCAGAACAGATTTTTAAAGTGCGGCCATATCTTGAAAGAATTCTTCTTGAAAAAAACGGTTACCAATATTCATCTTTTCACCAAATATGAAGAAAATCTGTCCTCTAGTATTTAAGTTATCTTCCAGGTGAATGGACAGATGGATGGACAGACTGACTGACTGATGGACTGACGAACAGTGGCTTTTATCCCGTGCCAGGACTATAGTCCTGTACCGAGCACATTCTTTTGCCTGTACGATTACAACTTGGGAGAATTATCTACGCCCCTTACACTTAAGATACCTACACCAATGCATTATAGAACTCAAAATGTAACTTCTAATATATTGGAAGCGTTGATTGTCTGGGTATATCGGCAGAACGGGAACATTTTTCTTTTTCATCGAGAGAGATTCAATTACTTTTCAAGATGGCGGTTGGATTTAAAATGGGATTCCCCGTTTGACTGTCCCGGATGTGGCCCGGAAGAACCAATAAATGGAGGAATTTGACAGTTAAAATAAGTTAAATATTACACGGAAATATTGCGATCAAAAACGAAAATTTCTTTGTTCTGCCGATAAACCCAGACAATTGTGGATTCAACTACACGAAAAGTGCTAAAATACCAAGGAATCTATTGAAGTAGGTATCTGAAGTGTAAGAAGCGTAAAAAATTCTCCCATGTTGTAATCGCACAGGCAAAAGATTGAGATGTTCTCAGGACTATAGTTCTGGCACGGGATAAAGTGGCTTCACTATATCCCTACTGAACTTCGTTTATTGGGATAATAAGTGGTAAAATAGGGGAATCCCCTTCCCTACCTTGTTTTGAGATGTAACCTTGAACTCTACAAGGAGCAAACTAAATTGAGTTCATTCAAAAAAATCATTCATTAATTATCCCCACAATATCGCACTCAAAGACAGATTTTGAAAATTTAAAAATCAATTAAGGCAGACTGACATGGAATTACAAGGAGTTACAGAAGGTGTTACAGATTATTTGGTAGCACAGCAAAGTTAGATATATTTTTTACTTTTCAATTCAACCCAATGTACTGTATGCCATATCCATGCTTACTGTCTAATATACCATTTTATATCATTTCTGTAGATGGCACAAGCATCCAGAAAATATAGTTTCTGAGCTTTCTGATGCTCTATAAGAAAAATCTGAAACGTTTTATAGGATTTGATAATCTAAGGGTTAAATGGATTCATACATTATGTCAATACAACACCTTAATACAAAAACAAATGCTTCTCTGTTTCACCTGACTAACTCACATGTAAGCTCAATTTGATTAATCCAATCAATTCTTGTTGGCATTACAATGTCATAACAAAGATAACTATACTTAATCCTTTTCAAAATGGATATATTTAAAAACATTTATTGAGTTGCACTAAACCAGAAGACTGGAGGGTTGGGGAACGCATCTAACGGGAGAGCCTGACAACCATGAACAGTTTAACATTCAAATATCTGTTGCTCATCATTGGATTGATTGGGACTCATTGCAGGGTAAGTTATATCAGGTAATTGTTGTCCTGTTTGCACATACAAAGGACGATTCTCGGTTTGGAGAACAGTCGCCTGGGCTGATAATTTTTTTCATGAAAATATAGAAATATTACCCAAATTAACTATGAATATTCAAAAGAGGACATTTAAATCTACAAGATGTAAAAATAACAAATTGATCTGAAGCAGGGATAACGCTCAATTAGACCGATTCAATAAAATACAAGTCTCGATTTGGGGAAAGAAGTTCATCAGTGTACTGCGCTAATATTTTTTTGCGAAAAATCTAGAAATATTACCCAAATTAATTTATGACTATTCAAATGAAGACATTCAAATCTATATCATGTAAAATAATCAAATTTGTCCGAAGCAGGGATAATGCTCATTTAGATTGATGAACTTCGTTCTCCAAACCGAGAATCGTCCTTTGCTGAAGTGTGCAAGAGGTAACATATCTAGTTAAAAGAAGGATATAAGACAACTGGAAATGCTAAATGGGCATTTTTAGATTCTTAAAATTGTCAAAGTTGAGTAAAATTGGGGGTAATGTGTGTACAAATTGTAACCTGATAACTCATCCCCAGAATAACTCATCAATTGTTAGAAGTATCAAAATACATCAGCTGTTTAGAAGATCAAGAAAAAAAGAATCGCATATTAAGAAGATGATGCCAGTGAGAAATGCCTGATAATAATGTCTTTATTAAAAGGCTCTATCATGATATTTGGTCAAGATCAAAATATACAAAATTCAACATAATTGTCTTTTAAACCCCAAAAAATTAAAAACAATGTAGTATATAAATAAACAATGAACAACACTGCGTATCATAATCGAATAAAATCTGGTAAATATGACAATGTAAATAGAACAACGATAAATGCAAGTATATATTAATTTCCTGAAAATGGATGATTTTAAAAGGAACGACAAAGCAACATTCATGACATTTCACCTAATACCCAAGACTCATTTCATTTGTTTCACTCGCTACATAAAATTCAGTTGAATTTGCTTAATCCTGAACAATCTTTTTATAGACGAGATGCAAGTCGAAACAATTTTCATTTTCATCATTATATATTCAAAATTTAGTGTAAGTGATATGATATTTGAAATCTATAGTACTATGTAAGATTGCATCTAGAAATGTGGTTCTGAAGATTGTTCATTAACTTTAAAATTTTATTTTTCTTTGAGGATGTGACTTCTAGGTCAGGTAGATTCCCCATAGAGTCCACGTTATAAAATCTTGAAAAGTGAAATATCTTGTATTGGACAGATAATATTTTCTTTCACTTTACCTCTATGACTTTGATCTTATTATTTAATAAATCTTGCTTATTGTACCAACTGCCCTGACAACTGTAGAATACAACAATAACATATGCATAAATCTAGCTCAAAACAATTGAAAAGTATGAATAACTTACAAATGCATACAGAAATGGTCCATTTATAAACTTATGAATTTGTAAATTATTTGTGAATGTTAATAAATTTACATATTGCGAATGTTGTTAGTACGAACAGTATAAGAAAGGGCCACTGGTGGTGAAACTGTTAACAAACTATTGGTACCTTGGAAATTAACATTTCTAATCACCCTGTATATGGCACCAAATGCATTGACTTAGAATGAAAAAGTTTATATTCATGTACATGTATTGAATAGTGGAACATAATTATAATCATACGTGTTCTGATTTCTTTCTTTCCAGCCATCCACTGAAAGTGAGGAAAGTGAAGAATCTAGCAATGAAATAGATGATGATGGTAAGAGAATATTGTTAGATATCAAAATATATTATTTTCTGTTTGTTATATGAAATAGCATACCAACCAAACTTTCAAAAACTTCAATAAACATAAATTGGCATCAAATTGAAAGTTAATGTGAATTGTGAACAACCTATTCAACTTTCCTTTAGGTTTTAATGTCCTACTGTACTCCCTGTAATCTTGCGAATTTTAAACTACAGAGAATAATCAGTTAAAAAATTTGCGAATTTTGACCTACAGAATAATCAGTTAAAAATGTAATTAGTCCTAAACATATAGATAATGAAATGCATATTACACATATTTGGGCTTTGAGCACTTAAAACAGAGCACTGATTATTTTTGAATGACAGAGGCTATCAATTGAGTTCGTCTCATCTAAAATAGTGAATAAAATTCATTCAAAATAGCTTTTGATTTCAGCTAAATCAAGTAAAACCTGAATTCCAAATATTTTGTCGTGCAAGTTCCAGTTTTGAACAAATACATAAAAATTCTCAAGCATCTGAGATTGAAGAATTTAAAGGAAACAAAGGATGGGTATTGATATGGTGAACTTTTTGAACACAAGTTTCTCTTAAACCAGTCATTAAAAATTTCTGAAAATTTTACACATTGTCAATTTAATGGTCATCTTTTGAATGGTAAAAAATATAATATGTATATAAACTTTTCTCTATACTGTTTTAGAAAACACATCAGGAACTTCTTTTGTTCTTGGTATCATATGTTCGGAATGAAACGAAACAGCTATCCAAACCTCATTGGATCAAAATGAAAATGCGTTTAGGTCTCTAAATCTTGTCATTGTACAAAGGAAAGTTCGGTTGATTTAAAAAAAGTATCTTGAGAGGTCTGAGAAAATGTTGTATTTGCTATTTTGTTCCAACAAGCTTCGGAAAAGATGTTTTATTTCATTCTCAAGAATTGGTAAAAAGAAACAAAAAACAATTGTACTAAATACAAAAAATGTTAACAAAAACAGTTATATAAAATATATATAAATAATATTCGCATTAAATTGTTGTCAATCAGTCAAAATTACATAAAGGATCGTTTTTTACAGAATGTTTTCAATAATTGGTTTAAGAGAAAAACATTGTTAAATTCAGTTCACCATATCGATACCAATACTTTTCTTAGAATGAGGCTTACTCAAATGACTTTTTTTACATTTGAGCCAAACCATTACTGTTATTGCAACAAAAAACACTGCAATTTAGTAGGAAACTAAGTGTGAAATAATTACATATTACCTATATACTTATGTATAAATGTTTTTCACTTATCATCAAGCTGTTATAACCTTAAAACATAGTAATAAAAAATTAAAAGATTGCATGTATGTCGTCATTACACCTTATAGCTGATGTAAATATCAAAATAATAGTTTTGAAATAACATGTCATTAACATATCAGAGTAAACCTAGTTTGAACGGGGTTTTAACATGATACGATCCAGACTAAAAAATCCCTTCTAACTGTTCTGTAATAATTACAAAATGTCTGAAGAAGACGATTATCATTAATCCAAGGCATTAACATGCAAAATGTCACCACTTGCCATTTATTACAGGCATCGAACACAGCCACAAAAAAAGTTGAGGACTATAACACCATGTAGAGATATGTCATGCATATGCAACATTTTGTTTTTGTCAACCTAAGTTTAACAATGAAAACAGCACTTGTTAAAATATTTGTATAATATGTGTGTCACAATTTAGTTCAAATCAGTGACTGTTTTATGATATCAAACATTAACAAGAATAAGAAGGAAGATGTGACCCCTAACAATTCTGTTTGGGCTACTGACAGTACAGTAGATATATAATTGTATTTAATAATAAAAATGTATGAGATATAAGAAGTTTGATCACCCTGAAGGCAAAATAAAAATGGCAAAAAAGCTGTGGCAACTTCAATATTGAGTACATTCTGGCTTCTAAATTACGAGGGGTGATCCAAAAGTCTTGGACGCACCGCTCTAGCTTTGCTATTTTCTAATATAATTATATGAAACTTTCAGATAATAAAGATCAACATCTTAACAACTTTGTGTATAAGTTTCAACAGAAAATAATATGTTTTAGCTACTTTTTCAAATATTTTTTGATATTGGGTCCCTGCCACCCGGAACGGTATTTGAATATAGCAAATCACGTCACAACTGTTAATTTGAAAAATACTTTAGGTGCAGGTGCACAACCTAACACCAGTCATGATATGAGAGAATTTCCAATTTTTCAATCTGAGTGTCATCTGCCATCATCATCTTCACATAACAAAATATACTTTTAAACATATTTTCCATGAATTTGAACATATTTTCCGTGCCGCTTTACCCTTGAATGAAAGATATTTATGAAACCGCCATAATGCTTATGTGATACGAATGTTCCTTGAGCGCCACTCTAAACCTCATCCAATGAGTAAAAACATTTTCTTTCAACCCTCCTTTCAACTTCAGAAAAGGAAGAAAATCACACGGAGCCTTATCTAGACTGTATCGCGCAGATGGGAGCTGCTCAAGGTCAATAATAGTGAGAATATTTTGTAGTATTCTTTGCTTCACTTTGATTTCTTTCATGTTCTGCATTTCAGCAGCCATCTTGCAGCAAAAATGATACCAGAATGAGGGTTACTTGTCTGATGTCATTTTCTTAGAATTTGACATATACGGCCATTGTCATATGTGACATTATAATTAAAGCACAATTAATTGGTTGCCTGGTAACAAAGGAAGTAAACTAACATGGTTAAATATTCAAAATTCAAAGAAAGATAGTGGTTAAAACTTGCGAAGCAAGTCATATGGCGGCAACGTTTAAGGCTGAAAGTTGCCTTATGCGAATACCGTTCCGGGTAGCAGGGTCCCTATATTAAAAACGATCTAGAAAACTACATAAAATATATCATTTCACCATGGAATTAATACACAAAGTAGTTAGGTTGTTGGTCTTTATTATTGAAAGGTTTAAAGTAATTTTATCAAAAACCAACAAAATTAGAGCAGGGCGTCCAAGACTTTTGGATCACCCCTCGTATAAGGAATAAATCCCATTATTATATCATTATCTAGCTAGCGACAGTATGATTGGTCAAAACCGGGTCACATGTCGTGGGATATCTGGCGATATTCAATGGCAATGCTAATCAGATAAGACAACTGTGAGATATCTAGCGATATCCCACGCTCCCGGGAATTTTCAAAGAATTTGTTTTCGTTCAGTGTAAATAATTTAGTTCAGTGTAAGTCAAAATGGCAGATGAACCGAGTAGATTTAATGCATTTCAATGTTAACCTATGACTTAATAATATTAGGGATGTTTAGCTAGACAGTGATATAATAAAACAAATATTTCACTCTATTTCGGTGAATACCTGTAGCACTTTCACAAGGTGATATCACTTGTGAAAGATGTACAGGTATTCACCTCATTAGAGTGAAATATTTGTTCAATATTCTTTCAACTGACAATAGATGAGTGAGTTTTTCCATTGGATGAAGTACTGTGTTGCTAGCAAGATATCCAAGATTTTGAATAGTATGGCATGGTATGGTATGGTATGGTATGGTATGGTATGGTATGGTATGGTATGCCCACATGTTTAAATGAACAATTGATAAGATTGACACTTGTAATTATAGGCGGGACTGTAAAAGTCTAAATTGCTTCATAAATAATATTACATCTGTCCTTACATATATGCTTGTATTTACAGATGAAACGCCCGATCAAGTACCACACAATGATAAAGAAACAGAAGGTAAATAATTTTAAAAAGCCTTAATGTCCACATTAACAATTTCAGAGACATCTACAGTCAAGGCAAACAATAAACAATGTAACATACATGCCTGATATACACACATTCAGGTGGGCCAAAAATGTCCATATTTCTTTCTTTTTTATAATGCATGGATTTCAATAATATTTTCACAGGATCTGTACCCTTTGCATTCGTTTGACTTCACTTCTTAAAAGAGAGCTTCGTCTTCACTCTTTCAAACTAAAATAAACGCATTTGGCGTATGTTTCTTCAAGCTCGCTGATTGGTGGAAGGTCAGCGCGTAGGTCAATAGGTCAAAAGTGATTTACCCAAACTGTCGCCAGTACCCGTCGTGGGGCAGGGCTACTAAACTGTAATATGGTCTCTGCTAGGCAGAGTGTAGTTTAACTAGACTCTGCACGCAGGGTACAGGATCTGCCATAATCAATTAGACAATCAACCTCAAATTGAGATAATATCTGTGGTGGTTTCAATCAACATTAGAGCAATGGGAAGGTTTTTAAACCAATATATAAGAAAAGATGGACCTGCTGTTCAACATAAAAAATGGAACTGGTGGGTCAAATTCTGGGTCAAAAATGAATGAGTCAAATGATCTACATCTTACTTATTTGTTTTTGATACTTCTACTATTAGGCAATCAGCATGGGGGTTTGTTGGTACCAAATTAGGGAAATGATGGCCAAGGTGATTTTTTGGAAGGGTTTAGACCTCTAGAGAAAATATGTGATAGCATTGTAATGGTCTTCCAGTTTACAATAAATCTCCGATCTCACCGAGCAAATCAGAGTTCGTCGTCGAGATACGGATGACTTTCCATATGGTCATTTCCTCTGACATCCCCGCATAATTGATGAGCACGTGTTTCTTCCACTTCGCTGATTGGTTGAGAAAGGGTCAGCGTGGTAGATTTGAAATGATTTATTACTCAGGCTGTCACAGGCACCAACATTCGGGTCAGGGCTGCTAGACTGTAATATAGTCTATACTAGGCAGAGGGTAGTTTATAACTAGACTCTGCGTACAGGGAATTTTCAAAATGGCCACCGGTGCACTTATTACCGCATAAAAGAAGTATTATCTAAGCATACTGAGAGGCACACAGTGATTTTAGGGTCTATATCTAGGTTTTAGGGTCAACGTTTTCCTTTATATCCAAATATAAGTCATCAAAGAATTACTTTATATGGAACTCCAAGATGACCACCAAAATAGCTGCCGAAATGAATATGTGACTATTGATATAAGCTCAAAGAACAAATAAAATTTGTGCTTCTCATATATCATTCTGGCAACTATATATTTTTAACTAAGACTACCAATTTCCGATAACCTTTCTTATTCAGACACCCATAATGATTCATTTATCCCTCTCAGGGACAAATATAACATGGCACTATGTCACTACCTGCCATTTATTACAGATACCAAACACCAAATGTGAGCTTTCAAACGCCATCCATAAAAAATTGGAGACAATAACAATATGTCACCATTTCTGGCGGTAACATAAAAATGGTTCCTACATCACTACCAAAGAGTTCTAAAATATATGCATTATTAAAAATATTATCATCAAAATTAAAAATGGACATGTTTGGCCCACCTTGTATACAATATAACAATACCATAATCAGGTAGACATATGAGAATCTACAGACATGTACTGTAATTATCCCAACGAACAAAGTTCGGTAGGGATATAGTGAAGCCCTCCGTCCGTCCGTCAGTCTGTCAGTCAGTCCGTCAGTCCGTCAGTCCGTCTGTCCGTCCGTCCGTACATTAACAAATGAATATGAAACAGTATATTCTCCGCAAAGAGGGTAAACTAAGAGGACAAATCAACATAAGACCAACAGTAAGGGGAAGGGGAGAGTTTTCCGGCCGGATCAAAACGTTTAACCCACCTATGCGCAGTCTCAAGTCTGTGGACCCTGAAGAAAGATAACTAACATCGCAATCAAATCAAGACAAAGAAAGAAGAAAATGAATGAAGAACCAATGCAGCAACAACAAATGACGTCCGTCCATCCGTCCGGAAGATAACTCAAATACTAGTGGATGTATTTTCTTCATATTTAGTGGAAAGATGTATATTGATGAATAGCTTTACGCAAAAAAGTTTTCAAGATGTCCGCCGCTTTAAAAATGACGGAACGTTTTTTGCAAAAATCATAAATTTTTCATTCTTAACCAAAGTAATTAATATTATTGTTTGAAATTTTGGTAGTATATTCACAACGTATTTCACATATATTCCGTGTTTTTCATCCTGACCCCCAGGGGCCGTGTATGGGGGGTCAGGAAAACAGAAAATTTCGCTAATTTTTAGATCTTTCTGAAGTATAGCTTTATTATACTCAAATGAAAGGCAATTAAGAGTAGATTGCAAATATTGTATCTTTTTATCTTTTTTCTGATTCGAGCCTTGTAAAACTCAAAATGGCCGTCTTATGTACGATTTCGCAATAATTTTTCGATCCCTTCAAAGTATGGCTATATTATACTCAAATTGAAGGAATTTTGGAGTAGATCACAATTATGGTATTATTTTTCAGATTTTTACCTCAGAAAATTCAAAATGGCTGCTTTGCAGGAATTCGCAATTCTAAAATCTAATTTTTTTCAATTTTAACCAAAGTAATGAGTATGATTGATTGGAATTCGGTAATTGATATTTTGTTCGTTGTTCGTTTGCTACTCCGCGGAGTTGCCGTTATCTAGTTACCTTTGGCAAGTAATCTAATTACAAGGTGCTAAATCTATTTCTGAGTGTAATTGCACTGTAATTAGAAGACAATGACTAATGTGAAGGATAATCAATATATATTACACATTATTTTGTTAAATATGAATTAACACAGCCAAAGTGTGAGAATAATAATGTCTGATACAACTTTTCATTAGCAATTAATATCAAACATAACTTATTGACATCTTGTATCATTACATGATTACATTAGTCACATATCAAATGTCTTAGGCTGTTGAGTTATAGAAATTAGTGTTTTGTATGATCAAACAAAATATTGCCGATCATATTCAAATGGATGTTAGATACATTTACCCCAGTGATCTCCCAAACATTAGAGCAAGTGGGTACTGCACCCACTTGAGATTTTAAAAATAGGCTTGCACCCACCTGAGAATCCATTTACACCCACTTGAAAATGAGAAAAATCATGAAAAATTGGCATAATTTAATCAAATTTGGTCTAATTTGTGAAATTTAGAATTTTGCACGCACTTGAGAAAAATCCTGGGGAGAACACTGTACCCCTTGTCATTGCTTTTTATTTAGAAAGCACAATTACTTTCTTTACTTAGAAGATAGTCATAATTAGTAAGCCTCTGGAACCCATCCCCTCCCTCCACTCACAAGAGGACACAAGGGCTTAGCAAGATTATAAAATTGACTGTTTCATGCTTTGAAATTAATTTAAATAGATCACATTTCATATCTTTAACATTTCCTAATTTCTTTTTTTGTACATTTAAAGGGGAACTTGTGGAGGGTGACATATTATCCAGCGGAGGTGTGGTAAGTAATTGAACAGTTTTTACATATTGATTCAGTAGTGAATGGAAAAGACAAAGTTAATACTTCATTTCTGTACATGAGACAAAAGGCGTGCAAAATGTCACCACGATTTATTACATAAGTACATCAACCACTGAACACCAACAAACCAATGCTGAACATCAATCGCTGAATGCCGAACACCATCAACAATCGCTGAATGCCAAACACCATCAACAAAACAGTTGAAGGCCATAACAATGTCACCACTTGTGGTGGCGGCATAAAAACACATGGGCCATGAAATATTTATTCATGAAATCATCAAAGATGGCATAAATGATGTTCATTATAGGCCACTTATTAATATATTTTCTGAGTTATCAATGAATTGAAGAAATATGATTGCAAGCAACCGAAATACATTTTTGAAACTTTGAAATCACTTTGGATAAAAAAAAATATTTTAACAAACTATTAAGAAATACTTTCTGAAAGGAACTCACAAAATGTTGATTTCTCATGATGAAGAAAATAATGAAAGATCAGCATCAGACTTGTAATTGCCATTAAAAATGATTTGTTCAATTAAAAGGATGTGTGAATTCACCTTAATATTGATATTTTCATTTTGGACCATTTTAAACTTTTTACACTAATATCTCAAACAATTATTCAAATTGTCTATTGAAAGTCATATGCTATATTTGCATAGAACCTTAAGAGGAATGTTTGTATTTATATTTTTCAAAATGGGATATGAAGCAACTTAAAGATTTTTCATAGTAATGGACTGAATATATGTGGACAATAAAAATGATGGAGAGCTTGAGTAAATCCAAAATTTCCATCACTGGAAACGGTAGGAGTAGTAATACATATATTTACAGAATATTTCTACAAAGACAAATCTTGATTCACAATGTGAACTTGAAATTTCAACTTTTTAGTTCAGAAATGCTAATGTTCAACCAAAGATGTGGCCGGGTGGTGAAGTCTTTTATGAAAAACCGAGGACAACAACATTCTGTAAGTATACACAAAACTAAGATAAAATCTTCTTAAAGAAAATTTTGCACCCTTCACATACTTGAAAATGATCCTTGCTTTATTTTAGCGATCTAACCGTAATCTCTCCAATAACAATACATATCATTATATATTGTGAAAATATGCTGTTATCGTTTTTGATGTTGCAAATAAGCTATTCTTGGCAGGAAAAAATTGCCATGCATGAAATTTCCTGGGATTTTTGACTTCTTTCATATATGGGCACTTATTAGAATGGTCTAAGGATGTATTTTCAATTTTCTAAATGTCCCAGGTGCTAATTAGAGAATATGCTAAATATTATATATGATTATTCATTATTTTTAGCATCTGGTGTGATTGATAACATTACCCAGGCTATGGCAGATATAACTGCTGCATCTGGGAATTGTATAGTGTTTAAAGAAAGGACTATACGGACAGGAAAAAGAAATTATATTCAAATTAAAAAAGACCGTGGGTAATTTTAAATTATTTTTTATAGTAGTAGTATCTTTATTTTTTTATGTCCCATGCACTAAAACAGATACTATATACAAAATATAACATTAAAAAATACATAAAAACAGTGCCTGACCAATGCTAACCTATGAGAGACATATATGTTTATTGCTGGAAAATGTCTCAAATTGTCTCAAATGAATTTCTTAATATAGGGTGACCCCAAAAATCCAATCCTCTTATTTTGAACTTCTCAATCTTAATGGAATCTTCTTGAATTTTCTTATGTATAGTAAGCTAAATGGGGTAAAAAAGCACTACTTACCATATTCCCTCCAATAAATGCACAGAGCATCTACCATAGTTGGATTACCTTACCTCTACCTTAATCCTGGATTGTGATATTGGTTCTCGATTGGAGGGGGAGGGGGATGCTAGAAATTGTTTCTTTTCACGTTAGATCATGGTTTTGGGATATATAGGGTCTACTTTTCTTATGACAGATTTATACTTACAGTTTGCTTTTCTTGTTGGATTTCCTTAAAGTTTTTAGTCACTCTTCCCTTTTGGCATTTGTGCTTATATATTTATTCTCCTGAAAGAGGTATCTCAAATGACAAAATCGGTATAATGTGATTGAAAATAAATTGTATGTTGTTCAAATAGTTCAATTGGGCAAGAAATCAACAAGTGGAGTATATCGTCACAATATCCTTCTCGTATTGGTTTTCCGGAGTATATCGTCAAAATATCCTTTGTATATTGGTTTTCCGGAGTATATTGTGGCATACTTTGTTGAATATATGTATTTAATGGCAAAAACAAAAATTCTAGGAAATTAAATGTTTAATAGGCTTAATCCCTAAGTAAGTTGTAGATGCAGTCAACGTATGCCAATTACACCAGAAAAAATAAAAAAGCATTCTAGTGGAAAGCGCTATACAAAATCGCCATCCTGATTACACCAACATTTCTAAAAAAGAGCCTTAGGAATTTACCTGTCATTTCTAAAAAGCCTTTCGTGCACTTTTAACGATGTAGATATGGAGAATATCCAGTAGATGTGTACATCTAAAATAAATGCATTATTTTAGCATCTAGGAGAAAACATAATCAAAACTTTTGCCAGTGATGTGAACTAACCTTTAATTTTGGAGATATAATTTGATGACCTATCGAATTTTTGGGTCAAATCAATCGATCATTTCCTGTATTTTGCGGCGGCCAAAATGTGTAGCATTCGAAATATGTCTTATTTCATTTAGGGCAAATGTTAAAAACAAGAGTAAGGTGTTTTACAAAAACTGATCGGTATTACACTACACTCCTGAAGCGCCCAACGATTTAAGGCATTTTTTGGTGACTAGGGTCCTAGGAGTTTTGGAAAAGCACTTTTGTAAAACCACGATCGTGATTACACCTATTTTTCAAAACGGGTTAAAACCTAGGCGCCTTCCTAAAACGCATGGTGTGATTCCATCAAATGATTGCTCTATGGAACATTCCATTTCCATATGATTTTGATCAGAAGTACACTAGAGAAACAATACCTGCTACAGAGCTTTGCTCATTTTAATTACAGATGCTTCTCAAAAGTAGGAATGGTGGGGGGACCTCAGCCACTATCACTAGGACTAGGATGCTATAAAAAGGGTGTTATAATACATGAGTTTCTTCATGCTCTCGGAGTCAATCATGAACACACACGGCATGATAGAGACCAACATATTGAAGTTAAAAAGAACAATGTTTTGAGTTTAGGTGAGAATACATTTATTCAGTTTACATCATTATTATAAATATGTAAAGTCTTGTTAGAGATAAATGCACTGTATGTACAGAGATCGCCTAATATTAAGAGCTGCAGGGTATATTGCCATACGTGGCAGCAAGATCTCGTTCTATCCAGTATTGAAGCAACGAGATCTCCAACCATCCCATTTTGCGCATCTTGTCGAGTCTTTGATCACCCACTTTTAATACTAGGCGATCTCTGTACATACAGTGAAATGGGTATTATCAGATGATGTTAACCCCTAAGAGTACTTAATGCCCGAGCATTCTTTTTTCAAATTAATTTCAAGAATTTTACAATTCAATTTTATCAATTTATTTATTAAACCATCATCCAATGGCTTTATATAAAAAACCTCCTACCTCATACCCACCTACCCACCTCCGTGGGACATGATGCAGTCATTAAAGGGTTCAATTTTAAAGTTTTTAAATCTCAAAATAGCTCTAATTATTAACATTTCTACAATTCCGGCTTCATTTTATGACTAGATGGATGACAGATCCATAAATAAAGACATATGGGTGCATTGTAATGTGTAATGACATGAGGGCGCCCCAGGGGAGGGGAATAACTAAAAATCAACCGCGAGCATAGGTCCAACAAGCCAGATAAAGAAATTGAAAGAAAGTGTGCTAAATTCGATGCCCCGAGTGGAAATCGAACCCAGCTGGGCTGTAGTAGCAATTTGCTATCAAGGGTCGTTACAAATGCATCTATAATTCATCATAAACTACTTAGATTTAATAAACTAAGATCTTTAAATTGAACCCTTCAAAGACTATATCATGTCCAACGTATGTGGGTAGGTGGGTATGAAGTAGGAGGTTTTGTATACAAATCCTCACCCAATCATTACAATACAACAGTACAATAACATATAATTAGATATTCAATTTAAAACCTGCATAGTCTAAAAAACTGTACCATAGATGTAATAGGCATAAATCATGCCTCTGCATGAATTTGTTTGAAACCAGGTTCAATCAAACATGAACCCATTATAATGTAATTTTAAGCCGTTTTAAAAATAATATATTACTTAAAGGGAATGCGAAGTTTTGTCCCTTAAACTTGATAATACGTTAGAATAAAGATACATCTTTCAATCCAACTTCGTTTTATTGTTCTATCATTATCCCCTTAATTGTTATTGAGCCCCGGGTTTTGCATATGAACTGGACTACGGAGCTGCCATTTCAACCGTAAAGTGGTTCTTTACGACATTGTTATGACGTCATTGATGCCAGATTGATGCCTGGCATCCAAAAGTTTTGTGGCGCCAATTTTGAATCAAAAAATAAATGCCGAGTTGTTGCCATTCCAAAACCAAATAAATCATATTAAAGAAACTAAAAGAATACGTATATACCACCAATAATAAAGAACGATTTCAATAGAATATTAACGCCGGCATTTTCGGAATTGCTTTTTACCTATCTAGACATGGAATGCTGGTTACATTTATTCGTTATTTACACTTGAAATAATCTTGGATTCGTGACTTTTTAACTTTTATTAGGTCTAGCGCTAAATGCGAACACAGAATGCTAATTCTATCAGGCGAATGCAAACTATTTGAATAAAACATAATAAAATTAATTCAACTAACCCATCTTGAATTTCCAATAATGCAATCTCGGTGATGATTTAATTTGCTAGTCTCATTACAAAAATAAGTGTTCTTACTTTAATATTCATTGCATTTATGTTTATCTTTAACACAAGTATTCGAAAAAAAATTTAAAATTAAATTTTAAAACCGTTTCCAATTACTATCACATGTCATGGATTCTTAGCCTCGGGGAGCCTACGGTCTATCATTTCTGCGGTAAGTAAAATTTCTACGGTTGCCTAAGTATTTCTGCAGTCAGATAATTTAGCAGTCTCATTTGCTAAGATAGCCATACGGCGTATCTTGATGAAAAATTACGACTCCCGTACGGCTGATAAATGATGACACACGAGCAGCATAGGGCGGCACTACGACGTGCGTAGTTTTTCTTGAAGGCATCCACAAGGGGTTCTATGGTTCGGAAAGGTCAATTGTAACCTATGAAATCCAAGCGCAGCCGCAAGTGAACCCGAAGTACAGCCGCCGTGAGACCTACAGTTTGGCTGCTGCTTGTTGACATCTACCGTGACCACAGGGAAGAAAAAGTTATAGCTCCGACTCTACGCCCTGTAAAAACTGGATATGCCGTGTACGTAGACCGCAAGGTGACCTTAAGACGACTGTAGTTTTCCTATGTTTGCCGCAGAAATTTACTGATTTCAGGGAAATACGGTCGACATGCGGTCGCATTGAGCAAATGTGACTGAAGCTTTTAAAGTTCCACTTATTTTAGAAAAAACGATATGGAAAAACAAAAGGTTGTATGCCATTGAATTGAAAATCATTATTTGGAAAATACTGTAGGACTGTACTTACCACGGATGTTATATAATTAAATTTGAAGCTTGAAATCAGGAATTGTTTTTAACAAAAAATAAATATATAATAAAATAAATATTAAAATATTGGCGTACTATCAATACGGCAATTGCCTTATCGTCGTTGAAATGAAATATCATACTACAATCGACACCATCGTCTCCCCGCATCACTGAATGTTATCAGTCTTCTCTTGTCATGATCCAAGGTGACATACCATTGAATTTTGAAAAGCTTTTTTTTGTCAAATTGAATGTCGCTATTATGGTGATATGATGATTGAAATTGGTCGTTTAACAACTGAGAAAAATTAAACATTACGTATTAATCTTTGAAAATATGACAGTGGCAGTCCTTGTGAAGCTATTGCCAATCTTAATATTTAAGAGATTGACATTTACATACCTATCATTTAGACGACATCGATTTTTCGTTTTTTGTTTGCGTTTTTCATCAGAATTTAAATGGTTAAACACTTTAGGGAGTTACTGTTTCATTGGATTACTACTTTTCGTTTTATTTCTTTCATTCTCCAATATGCACCTATTCATATTTTAGTATGCCTATTTGCCGACGTATACCTTATCATTATATAATATAAAATAATTCTAGTGGATATTTTTCAAGTGGAATATAATGCGATGACTTTTCAGTCAAAACCAGTTAAATTCCGAATCGCGCAGCCGAATTCTCATGAGTTTAGTGATTTTTCTACCTAGCTTATACTATATCACATTAGAGAAAATAAATACAAACATTTGAAAAAGACATTGCAACAATTCAATTTCTATGAAGAAAATATTGAAACAACCTTTTCAAATATATAATATGATATGGACATGAACATGCGGCAACAATGTTAAGCGGACAGAAATAGTTATACAAATATCAGTGAAATGTGTTCTATTTCTGCGATCAGAGTATGACGTGATTATATAGCGACACTTCCCAGGCATCAATTCTAAGGCATCAATGACGTCACTGATACATAACAATGGCGGCATCCGCAGCCATTCAGATATGGGTACTTTGAACTTGAATTATATGTTAGTTCAAACACGATACGTCCTATGAGTGAGCGGAAGTGATAGATGATGGTTATAAGTAGTCAGTGTGTAAATTAGAACATGAAACTTCGCATTCCCTTTAAAGTTTTCAAGTTAAAGCTGTGACAACATTTAACAAGAAATTTGGTCAATTCGAAGCAAGTTGAAAAAATACCATTTTTGACCCTGAGAAGATCATTGAAGGTGAAATCGCTAATCTAAACTCAGATTTGAACTTCTGGGGTCTTCCAAATAATTTCGAAAAAAAGATTTGGTCAATTTGAAGCAAGTTGAAAAAGGACCTTTTTTGCCTTGAGAATGTCATTGAAGGTCAAATCTTTCTTGACCTTGAGAATCTCATTGTAGATGATTTTGAAAAAATTGGTCAATTTGAAGCAAGTTGAAAAAAGACCTTTTTGACCTTGAAAATGTCATTGAAGGTCAGATCTTCAATATAAAGTCAGTTTTGAACTTCTGGAAACTTGTAGATGATTTTGTAAAAAATTGAGGTCACTCTAAAAAAGTATTTGATAAGTAATTGAAAGTTGTAAGAATTTGTTACTGACGCAAACTGCCGATTGCCAACCACCAACTACAGTAAAATAAAAACAAGACCATAACACTTTTTTTGTGGTGACATAATAAAAATGGCATTTCAGGCATTCTCTATGTTCCCCAAACATGGTTCAATGAGACAGTGTTTCCTATATTTGAGGACATAAATAAAACAGCCACCCATAGTATATAGAATAATGTAATGGTAAATCAGAAAACTGGTAACAGATATTGCCTTACTAGCCTGTTGCTATCTTGATATGGTTGCTATAAGAAAATATAAACCATCAATTCCCATTAAATTATGAAAAAGATTTTGCAACAATTTGTTACAAATACTGATCTGTGAATTTTGGTTACAAAATGGCAAACAACATCTCATCACTGAAAAATCTGGGTGCCAAAACTAAATCTCTACTATCTACAGTGCTCTATAGTATAGCAACAGACGGACAGATCGTCGCCTAGTCTATACCATAGTCTCGCTGTGTGAGCCAAAACCCAGTAATTCATAGCCTTAAAACATCCAATTTAGGGTATCTTAAGGTACATCTAAAACACTCTAAGGGACACTGTTAAAACTTACAGTCGGATAAACAGTGCATGCCCTTAGCCACATATAGAACAACAAATCCTTAGATTTTTATGTCCATCTTGTTTTTTTAATTTAGATGTGTACAATAATAACTTCAAGAAGAGGATAATTCACGATGATTATGGCATTCCTTACTGCTATATGAGCATAATGCATTACAGCAACACAGCATTTTCTAAAAGTGATAACGACAAAACAATAATTCCATTGATCAATCCTAGCCTGAAATTAGGACAGAGAGTCAAGTTAGACTCATGTGATATCAAGCTCCTGAAGGAAATGTATAAGTGCACTCCAGGTAAACTCCATGTTACTTATTGATACATTTAGATTTCTATGTATGTGTAATTTAAATTCAAATTTTTTTAAACAGAACTTTTAATTTCTAACCACTTCTTGATTACATAAGTGAAGACTAGAATCTAAGCCAAAACTTAGCTTGCATTCATGAATGCAACTAATGCCTGTTGGCTACCAGATTAACCAACTATTTTGTGGTTAACTCATTTGAATATGAATGCAATAATGGCAGGAGGTATTATTCATATTCAACTGAGTTACCCATGATGGGTGCACCGCAATACTTTTTTAGATGATACGCAAACTTAACATCAATAAAATCATTTAGATCAAATCAAAATTCCAAATCCTTATTAATATTTCTAGGAAGAAAGTTAAATAAATTCAATACAATCTTCTCATTTTGTACAAAAGAACAGCATTATGATTGGAACACAATTTCATTTATTTTCACATGTTGTTTCCTGGTCCTATGATGAGTGAATATAATTTAACTTGTATGTTTCAGGCAAGGGATCAGGTATACCCAAAGAAGATAGTTCTGATGACTCATATTCTTCATATTCTTCATATTCTTTATATAAAAAACCTGGCACATGAAAATGAAAGGACAATCATCAAAGGCCAATGATACCATGAAATGACACATGAGACTGTTTGAAATTTTCATGGATCTTTAGACTTTTTTCTTATAATAATAATATTATTATTTGAATACATTGCAGATCAATGTAACTGTTATGTTTCATGAATATTTTAATTTAATGTATATACATTATGTGTCCTATATTTTGGATTCCAAATATGTGTACAGTATGATGTCATAATATATTTGATGCATATGAAAGGATGTTAAGATGTCCAATATTTGATTTAAAAATTCCAAATTGACAATGGTGTTCCAAGAGACATACGATGTATCAAAATGTGAGATATCTTGAAAAAATTTGAAAGAACTTTTTAAATAATCATTACAGGAACATAAGCATGTCAAAGGGGAATGATCTAAATAAAAGATGGTGATTTTGAATCTAGAATTAGGAGATGAAAACCTTTATTCTGAATGTATGCATGTTAAGTTGAAAATGGGATTTAGACAATTCCAAATTGCTGTTTTCATGTGTTTTTTAAAATTGTTGATGAATGGATGAATGTGTACAGTGTGAGACAAAGATACAAAATAGACCTCTTTGAACTGAGCAGCCATATTGAAAATTTCTTGTAAGCATTCAGTTTTTACACAAGAACACAAATGTGTACAAAATGTCCCCACCTTTGGGTGATCCCGTCAAATGGTTATCCTAAAAATGAGTAGACAAGACTTTACCGACACAATTTGAGGAGGGAATATCCAAAATGGCCACCTTAAAATTTACCCAGAATGCCCAAAAAATAGTCAGTTCTAGATTTTCATATTAAGAGCCACCCCTGAAAATTTAAAATTGATCCCTCACACAGTTAACCAGAAAACATGTAAACAAGACTTTACAAACAAGATTTTAGGACGGAAAATCCAAAATGGCTGCCTTGATTTTTATCCAGAATGCCAAAAAACTAATCTCTTCGAGATTTTCATACTAAGAATCATCCCTGAAAATTTGAAATTGATCTACCAAACGGTTCACCTGGAAATCCGTAGACAAAACTTAACAGACAAGATTTTAGGTCAGAAAATCCAAAATGGCTGCCTTGACATTTACCCAGAATGCCCAAAAACTAATCAGATCTAGATTTTCATACTAAGAATCATCTCTGAAAATTTGAAATTGATCTACCAAACAGTTCACCTGGAAATGCGTAGACAAGACTTTACAGACAAGATTTTAGGATGGAAAATCCAAAATGGCTGCCTTGACATTTACCCAGAATGCCCAAAAACTAATCAGATCTAGATTTTCATACTAAAAATCATCCCTGAAAATTTGAAATTGATCTACCAAACGGTTCACCTGAAAACGCGTAGACAAGACTTTACAGACAAGATTTTAGGACGGAAAAATCCAAAATGGCCGACAATAAAAAAGTGATTATGAGTTTTTGCTGATTTCCTTTTACAAAATTATCACATATTACTACTGTTAACAATAACATAGGCTTTTACAACAAAGTACACCTGAAATTATTTATAAAGCTACTAAATAGTTAAAGTATGAAAATTGAAAAACACCATTCAATATGATACAAAGTATTATCGCGCGCTAACTTTTCTTAAAACATTCAAAATGGCTGACATGACTGAGCTAACAGGTCCAAAACCTAATCAGATGTAGAATGAAGTGAGCTGAACAAGATGTTAAAGTTTCAAAAGCAACTGTGAAGTCATTTTTCTTAAAGTTTGCAGACAAGGATTTTAGCATTTGACTTCAAAATGGCCGACAGGAAGTAGGTATCCACTTAAATTTTTTTCATCCACATCAAGATGCACTCATAAGTTATCCCTGAAAATTTGAAGGTGATATCTGTAGCGGTTTTGGAGAAAACTGCCGGACGTACGGACGGACGGACAGACGGACATACGGACAGACAGACGCGCCTAGGCCGACAATATGGCCCCACACTATGTGGTGGGGACATAACAAAAGGCAGCCATTTTGAATTGAGTGGCTATATTGAACTCCTTGATGAACGGAAAGGACGGGTGTCATTAAGGTCCCTTTTTAGCCCCCAAAGATATCTGATAATAATGGATATCATATTGAAGAAAATCATTTGTGCTTTATAAAAATACAATTTCAGCGAATTTTGACCTTGGATGTTCACACAACAGTCATTTAAAGATCATATACCATTTTTGGTGTTTTTACAAAAAATTCTTTATTTATTGTTGTCTAAGTCAATAGTATGTAAATATTAACCAATTTAAATATATTAAAATGTAATATATGAAATACTGAAGAAAAGATACAATTAAAATTATTTTCATGGAAAGCACATATGGCAATATTGACAAAATGCAAATGCTATTTTGGTAGGTTCTGGGCTAGCAATGGGTACATTTCAACTGTGACTGTAATGGATTACTATTGACTTTTATCAACATCACAGGGCAATATTTAAGCAACTTAAATACAAGGAAAATCAAAGATTTCCTCTCATTTCTAAAACGAGGAACAAAAGCATGAATTCAAGGAAAATAAATGATGGCCTGTGCCAATTATATAACATATGAGAAAGTTGTGGCACAGTAAAGGATATGTATATCATATGATTTTAAATGATTTTATCTTTATCTCCGAGTTGATATCAATATATGGCAATTGCCAAGTTAGCATAGCGAATTAGCGCAGATATTGATATCAATGAGTTGGATTAACACAATATCATGAAAATGCATAGGATGTTCTATTTTTCCCATAGTTCACCTCTAAAACTAAACAAAGCATATCAAAACAACATCCTTCATTCATTCATCCCCATGTTGTCATGAAATCACTATGTAACAAAACACATCATATTGGTGGTAGTTTTCAAATCCCTGCCAAAAGGTGATATCTGTGAAATATTTATAAAGCCAAAAAACTAATCTCTTCGAGATTTTCATACTAAGAATCATCCCTGAAAATTTGAAATTGATCTACCAAACGGTTCACCTGGAAATCCGTAGACAAAACTTAACAGACAAGATTTTAGGTCAGAAAATCCAAAATGGCTGCCTTGACATTTACCCAGAATGCCCAAAAACTAATCAGATCTAGATTTTCATACTAAGAATCATCTCTGAAAATTTGAAATTGATCTACCAAACAGTTCACCTGGAAATGCGTAGACAAGACTTTACAGACAAGATTTTAGGACGGAAAATCCAAAATGGCTGCCTTGACATTTACCCAGAATGCCCAAAAACTAATCAGATCTAGATTTTCATACTAAAAATCATCCCTGAAAATTTGAAATTGATCTACCAAACGGTTCACCTGAAAACGCGTAGACAAGACTTTACAGACAAGATTTTAGGACGGAAAAATCCAAAATGGCCGACAATAAAAAAGTGATTATGAGTTTTTGCTGATTTCCTTTTACAAAATTATCACATATTACTACTGTTAACAATAACATAGGCTTTTACAACAAAGTACACCTGAAATTATTTATAAAGCTACTAAATAGTTAAAGTATGAAAATTGAAAAACACCATTCAATATGATACAAAGTATTATCGCGCGCTAACTTTTCTTAAAACATTCAAAATGGCTGACATGACTGAGCTAACAGGTCCAAAACCTAATCAGATGTAGAATGAAGTGAGCTGAACAAGATTTTAAAGTTTCAAAAGCAACTGTGAAGTCATTTTTCTTAAAGTTTGCAGACAAGGATTTTAGCATTTGACTTCAAAATGGCCGACAGGAAGTAGGTATCCACTTAAATTGTTTTCATCCACATCAAGATGCACTCATAAGTTATCCCTGAAAATTTGAAGGTGATATCTGTAGCGGTTTTGGAGAAAACTGCCGGACGTACGGACGGACGGACAGACGGACATACGGACAGACAGACGCGCCTAGGCCGACAATATGGCCCCACACTATGTGGTGGGGACATAACAAAAGGCAGCCATTTTGAATTGAGTGGCTATATTGAACTCCTTGATGAACGGAAAGGACGGGTGTCATTAAGGGCCCTTTTTAGCCCCCAAAGATATCTGATAATAATGGATATCATATTGAAGAAAATCATTTGTGCTTTATAAAAATACAATTTCAGCGAATTTTGACCTTGGATGTTCACACAACAGTCATTTAAAGATCATATACCATTTTTGGTGTTTTTACAAAAAATTCTTTATTTATTGTTGTCTAAGTCAATAGTATGTAAATATTAACCAATTTAAATATATTAAAATGTAATATATGAAATACTGAAGAAAAGATACAATTAAAATTATTTTCATGGAAAGCACATAAGGCAATATTGACAAAATGCAAATGCTATTTTGGTAGGTTCTGGGCTAGCAATGGGTACATTTCAACTGTGACTGTAATGGATTACTATTGACTTTTATCAACATCACAGGGCAATATTTAAGCAACTTAAATACAAGGAAAATCAAAGATTTCCTCTCATTTCTAAAACGAGGAACAAAAGCATGAATTCAAGGAAAATAAATGATGGCCTGTGCCAATTATATAACATATGAGAAAGTTGTGGCACAGTAAAGGATATGTATATCATATGATTTTAAATGATTTTATCTTTATCTCCGAGTTGATATCAATATATGGCAATTGCCAAGTTAGCATAGCGAATTAGCGCAGATATTGATATCAATGAGTTGGATTAACACAATATCACGAAAATGCATAGGATGTTCTATTTTTCCCATAGTTCACCTCTAAAACTAAACAAAGCATATCAAAACAACATCCTTCATTCATTCATCCCCATGTTGTCATGAAATCACTATGTAACAAAACACATCATATTGGTGGTAGTTTTCAAATCCCTGCCAAAAGGTGATATCTGTGAAATATTTTCCGTATTCCATAGATATCACTTTTTCCACGCATTTGCAAAATATCATAAATATGTTTTCATGTTACCTAACAGAGCGGAACAGACTTCAACTATGGGATAAAGAATAAAAAATAAGTACATAATTGAATTACCACTCCAAAAATATTAAATATGAGGGTTTAAAGAAAGAATATTGAATATGAGATTCAAAAAGACAAGTGGCCTCATGTCTCACGTTACCCAAACCCCAGATCCTTGATGTCATATATACTTGTATACTGTATATCAATGTTATTTACTGGGAGGATTAAATATGGAGTGTATAGCAATGGTCAATACGATATTTCCAGATGGATATTTTTC